AGCGTCTTATTTATATACCAGAAAAACATATATCTAGTAAATGCTAGGGCATTCACGAAGGAACAAGATACTGCTAGAAAATAGGTGGCGTGACAATAGTCACGTGACCTCGCTGACGCAAAACTGTCATATTTTGAAACAGTTCAAAGATACATTATTCGAATAATATAATGTTTTCAATTTGTTTATATAATCATTGGAAGCTACCGTGAAACTACACGCACGTGATATTAATACATTGGATTAATATTCCAAAAACATCAAACTCAAAGAGCATGACTAAAAGCCATTTCTTTTTAGGGCAAACAAAGTCTAGTTATTCTTAAGTGTTGAGGTTAAAAGCATAGCGGTAAGTGATTAGTGTTATAAAATGAAATTAATTTTTAGTAAATACATTTAAGGCATAATCTACAAGAAATTTAGTTACATGCCCCTGATGGTTCACTAGAATTATAATGCTAAAAATCTGGTTTTGATATCCATGGTGGGCAGAGCACAAAAGCCTATTGTGTAGCTTTACTACAAACAAGCAAACTTTAGTAAAATTTTAAGAGAAGGGCCATCCATTATATTTGTCCATTTTGGGATTATATTTTTCGATAGGGGGCGGTTCCTTAATTTTCCGATCTAAGAAACTGTCAAATCTTGTAACAATTTCAATCGTTATTGTACAGACCGTCTTTAGTATACCGTGACCCGAGATATATTGTTTACATAAATATACCTTAGAGAAGAACTTAAACATTACTTACTCAGTTTGTCTAACGTTATTAAACGTTCCCGTTTAGGCTTACCTTTTACTATGTAAGATATTAATTATACATTAGTATTAGACTTATTATATGTTTTATTTTATTCAAACCCCTCAGGGTTTTTCAAGAAGAAATAGAGTATATATAAAATCTGGTATTTCAATCCCGATATATCTGCCATTTCCATTGCTGACGTCATGTCTCGCTCAATATATGGTTCATCAGGCTGGCTGGGACACAACGCTATTTATATACATTGCCCCGTGACGTTAGTGTATAGTTAGTATACATCAGAGTAAAAGCTGTTTTGATTGGTGGTTTAGTTTTATTTAATTTATTTTAAAATCAAATATTGGTTTTTATAGGAAATCCATTTCACTATCTATTAGAAACCATTGGTCAATCTTATAACTTGGTTATGCAGTCTTTTTTATCCAATAGAAGTGTCCTGGTGAATAAAAGTTTTCGTCTTTACAACCTCATTAATTTTGTTGTGAGCTATATATTTTTAATATTATAATTTATTTGATAGCTAGAGGGAGCTGCGAGTATTGATGATGTAATGTGATGTGAAGTTCATATGTGTTAGTCCTAGAAATGTATTGAACAATAGCGGGTTATGAAAACGACGTTCCCTGAAACGTCATCTTGATTATCACACGAGTAAATGGATTGATTGTAAAGTTAGTCCTAGCACTGTTGTCAGAGAGTTATATCGTCATTTGTAAGAGTAGGCTCGACAAATTTTGACAGTTTTAGAATTAAAGTGGCTTAATCTTATAAAAACGTTAAAAGGAAGAAATATATTTAATCTCCTTTAGACGTTGATTTATTTTCACCTAATAATTTAAAAGAAATCGTAAAAAGGAATTAATTTACAACAATGATATATTTTCATCCTGTTTATTTTTGCAATTCAAGCCATTGAGAACACCATATTTCTGCGTTATAATATTAACAAAAGTGTTTGTATTGAAAACTAAGTTCTCGTTGCTAAGTCACTTAACAATCCATAAACATAAATCATGTCAATTAAAACAACGCAGGATAATTTTATATTAAATTGAGCCCCACGAGATATGCATTTTAGTAACAATTCGGTGTTGTTGTTTTTAAATATCAAAACAACAAAAGGGAAATTTAAACACAAAAGTAACAATTTTGTGTTGTTCATAAGCTTAATCGTTTCAAGAGACTTGTTGAAATTCGAGTAATTTTAGTTACCAGTTTTCGTTCTTTTGTTCTTGTAAGTGGTGTGTTCTGTTTGTTGTATAAATCATGAAAAAAAGGAATACTGGATTTCTTACTTTACAAGCGCCATCTGTTGGTGTTATTGAATAATTTTGCTTCTGTAGTCAATATTGAAACCGCTTCGTAACAATAAAATCCATTTTTCGCTAATTAACAGGATAATGTTTAACTTAGAAAACAACTTATATAATTCATTATTTTGCTAATCAATAAAACAATTACAAATTATTATTATTATTTTGTAATTATTAGCAGAGGGCGTTTTAACTGTGTTTGTTTGTAATTAAGCACAAAGCTACACAATGGGCTATCTGTGCTCTGCCCACCACGGGTATCGAAACCCGGATTCTAGCGTTGTAAGTCCGCAGACATACCGCTGTGCCACTGGGGGGCCGTTTTAACTGTTCCGATTACTCTCGTAAATTCAATAACAGTTTGTATTTACTAATATGATTGAAAAGGACTCAGGTTTAGCTTTCATATTAGGAGTCGCTAAAATTGTTACATTAGTTGAATAAATAATGTATACATGATATTTTAATTTTTTTAGATTTTCTTTTTCATAAACATTTTAAATAATAAATATTATTTTAAACTATAAAGGTCAGCACAATCAATGAGAATGATGTAGCTGTATCCAGGGTGATCTTTGAATTTCCAACCATCTACTTGCTTATATTGAACCTCCCAGGTCTTCCAAAAATATTTAAACTCCGATAAATAAGAAGCGGACTGTTCAAAACTGAATAAACATGATTTGTTTTGAAAATAAAAGTATTCACGAAAAGCTGTATAAGTGATACTAGAAACTTTTAAATGAAATTGGAATAAAATATATTACAAAGGGCCTAAATAACTAATTATGTATGAACGTATTTCACTTATGTAAAATAATGTTATTAATCCCCAAGTCCCCCTCTGATATCGATTGTTTACTGTTACTTAAATGGGGATGGGTTTTGTCTCTTTGCTGTGCTATTTATTTAATTCCAACCCCCTTTTAAATAAATTTTGAATAATATTTTATAAAAGTGAAGAACCAATTGTTTTTTCTGTTTAATGATTGAGTATTTATATCATTTCTATAACAACACTGTTAAAGAGAACGTTATTTCTGATTTTTTTTTACTGTAGATAAACCTATGTAATAATGCACTCCAAACCCTGGCAGTGTTATAAATTATAAATATATATATATAATTAAATTAAGAATATTAATAGAAAAGAAATTAATTTAACAACGTCATTAGATGTGGTGAGCACAGTGCACATAGCACATTGTGCAGCTCTACGCTTAAACGAAGGCTTTGCCCCCCCCCCACTGGTGGGGGCTAATTAATAACTCTAAAAATTAAGGTTCCATTCCTGCATTTGGCACAGTGCAGATAATTCATTGCGTAGATTCAAACGCCTACTTCTCATGTCACTCTCCAGAGTGTCTGAAGGATACATGACATGTTTCCTGACCAATTATTACCCTCGCTTATAACTGGATCCTTCAGACACCCTGGAGAGTGACATGTGACATGACATGTTTCCTGACCAATTATTACCCCAGTTATAAGCGAGCACATGTCACTCTCCAGGGAAGGATACTTGATATGTTTGGTAACAACTGGTCAGGCCAGTTATAAGCGAGCATACACACAAAACATACAGACTTTTGTCAAATAATGGTTTCGACCTTTGTTTGATTGGATTGTGTGAACAATATTATGTTTTCATAACAAACAGCACAACTTGGTAATGTCCTGATAGATAGAAAAATTTCAACTTGCTACTGTAATTTCTGACTCACAATTTAATAGCCAGGGCT